CTCAGGCAAGAGTATTACTTGAGCTCAAGAATTTGAAGTTGCTGTGAGCTATGACTCCATGGCACTCTAACCAGGGTGGCAGAGTGAGACTCTGTCTCAAAAACAAACAAAATTGACCTAAAATTATCTCATTGGTCCTAAAAAGAAATAAAACTAATTGATTATCTTTGCATAACAAATGCATAATTTCTGACTATGTGGTAACATTTAGGATCTTTGGAATAAAATTAACATTTTTAGATTATTTTTAGATTTCGTGATTGTGCAAAGACATCAGACTTCTAGCATTTAGTATTTATATTCTGTGGCATTTAAGCAAAGTAATTTAACATTTCTCTACTTTGATTTCAACATTTACAACATTGACCTTTTCCTTGTTAAGGTAATTGTGTTTCTCTGTCAAGGCCTGAGGCATAGAGAAGAAACCATGAAATACAGTGAAGCTTTATTCATAGTCATCCTTTGGACTATTATACTGGACAGTGCAGAGGGTTGACTGTGATGTGGGAGCAGTACTGGATCCTTTTATAGGGGGCATCAGAATCATTCACGGCCGGGATGATTAAGCCCCAAATTAAGGCAGAGGAAGTGAGAATGAAGACAAAGTAATAGAGTCCGGAAATATTAACTCAGATCCATAGGACTAGGGGGTTGGAGTGTTTGAGGGAGGACGAGGAGTCTAGGTTAACTCTCAGTGGTAATACTCAGTCTTCAGCTAGATATGTGAGTTTAAAGCCAACAAGGCAGTCTGAGCTGGATGCTTGATTAATATTGTCAGATTATACACAGGAGTCAAACTTGCATTTGCAGAATTTCAAAAATAAAGTGGCAATGCAGAGAAGTCTAATTTTAGATAATAATCTTATTTCTAAGTTCTTAGAGTTCCCCACACTGGAGTTCCTATGCCTCAGGTAGACCAGCTGACTCTCCTCAAAAGTCTTCTAGGTGACATCACTTTGGCCCTTCACATTGAAGACTCTGAAACTTAATTTCAGCATGTTGAGTGCATCTGCCTCAGTGTTGAGTCACATTCACTAGCTTCTGAGGCTGATGTCTAAAATTCCTGGTTTCTCATTTACCAGGGGGAGTGTAACTCTCACACAGTCCAAAGTACTTGTGTTGGCATAGCCACAGGGCCCAAACATTATTACAAGATAGCATGTTAGATGTGGGATCAGAGCTGAGAAGTTAATGAAGTTGGATGGATCAAATACATGTGTCTGGTAGTATTAAACTGAATAGATGGCACTGTTGTCTCATCAAGAGGTTCTTTTTTCTGAGATGAGAAATATTTAATCCCTGTAGTTTATATCTTCCTCGAACCATCATGGTAACGAGTGCCTTGACAATGGCAATTTTTAATTTGCTGGAGTCCCTTCCACTCCTCCTGGTCTTCTGACCACGGAAAGCAAATAATGCATGTCGTTTCCACTACAGGAAACCAAAAATGTGATGCTGGAGGACAAAGACATCTAACACAAATGTCATTTGCATTTGCAACTCCTACCCTATAGCGTAGTCGTATTTTCTGGCTGCTTGCGTGGTGGAGGGCCATCTCACTACAGTAGCCATGTACTAACAAGAATGGATGTATATGGATGAGGTGGCCCAAAGTGAGAAGAAGACACACAAAAATGTGTGCCTTGAGAAAGATCAAAACTATGATTAGTTTCTGCAACTAACATTTAAGGCTTACCAACTGCTTTGACTTGCAAATCATATTGTAGGTTGGTTTCTTGGATGGAAAAGCTTTGTAATTATATCCTATAGAGGCTGTGGACCAGGGAAAGAAAAAGCTTCCAGAGAGTGATGGGGGTTGAAGTAACTAGTGGTCATGGATGCACCATTGCTGCTGTGTCCATCTTACTTTCTTGCAGTGGGGCCTAACCTTGGCCTGGACATTAATTTACCAGCTGTAAGACGTAAGACCTGCTGAAGCTACTTGGTTAAATTAGGAGGAAAAAAAATCCATTACTCTTATATTCTTTTCTGAAGTGATTCATTCTTTCCTTTTCAATCATCACCTTTCTAGTCCAGACTTTAGTTCTCTGGGCTAACAGTTTTTAAATCAGGTGGCAGGATGATGGTATGGCTGCATGAAAACAAGTCAGATCCGTTTAAAATTCAGATCCCAGGATTCTGAGTCAGTGGGCATCAAAGAGGGGCCCTGGAGTCTGCATTTTTGAAAAGCTTCCTGTGCTACTTTCAGATGCAAAAGCAGATCTGAGACGTTCTTCTAAGTTACTGCCACAGAGTTTTTGCCTACATCAGTATTCTTTTTACTTCCTGATTCTTTGCTTCTAATCCACTGTCCATTACCATTCCAGGGTGACATTAAAAACAGACATGTGTGCTCCACACTGGCCTGTTAATACCATTGCCCTGAACAAAAACTTTCAGTAATTTCACAGAGTGAGTCTGATGATAGCATGAGTTTCCCAAGGGTGATACCTATAAATTCCTCAGGCTTGTAACATTTAGTACAGAACCTTCCATATGAGAGATCATTTATCCATATGTAGAGGGTCTCATACCCATGATTAAGGATGGGGAGGCTTTGGTAAATTAAGTTGGTTTTCACTTGTACACATACCTTATGTGCTACATTTACTCACTTGCTATAAGTTCAGAGGGCCTTTTATTTTGCTTATCTTAGTAGCAAAATTAGTACAAGTTTTGCCACTTTCATATACATTTTTAAATTCAGGCAGTGGAATAAGTACATATTTTTTTCATTTAATTCTTCAGTTCCAGAAAGTAGGTGAAGATATCTCCATATTATAGTTAGTAGATTGGTGATCTGCACTTTTAAGAGATTTACTCATAAATCTCACCGGTATCAATGTTAGAGCTATAATTTGAACCCAAGCTGGTTTGATTGTAAAATTTGTGTTTAGTGATGTTACTGGTTTTATCTTTCCTCCTTTTTTAAATATATATTTTTTTAATTTTGGTCACTGAATATCACTATAAAAAACAAAATGGAGGGCAGCACCTGTGGAGTAGGGCGCTGGCCCCATATACCGGAAGTGGGGGGTTCAAACCCGGGCCCGACCAAAAACTGCAAAAAAAAAAAAAAAATGGAAATGTCATTTCCATTTCTCACCAGTTTTTCAAAAGAAGAACAGAATTTCCTAAGATTTTGGTAAAACATGCACATTTCTTTTCTGACCATCTGAGAGATTTTATACAATAAAATGATAGCTTTCTATTTCTTTTAACTACAGTTTTAGAAAAATGTGAACCTGAGATGAAAAGGCAAAAGCTGTGCCAGTTGGGAAGGTGGTGGTCACAGAGCACCTGATGGGTTTGGGACTGTGGCTTCTTTCTGCATTGCCTGTGCAGTGGTTAAAGTCACTGAACTCCCATTGGCTTTCTTTTTTCACATGTCCCCAAATGGGGACAGGTGAGAGGCCTTGGTGCCAGAAAAGATCTAGTGTGTGTTTCTCTCTTTTTGAAAAATGTTCCTGGTAAATTATAGCACCCTGCTTAGTTGAAAGTCTGGGGGTAAAGCACAATGGGGGAAATTCTATTTGCTGACTTATGGGAAATCACAGTGTATCAGTTGGTCGTCAGCACACTAAAAAATAGGTTTCCCTGTGCTATTCTAGTTTTGTTCTTAGCCAGGAACCTTAGTGCCAGGGATAAAATGTAGTGATCAAAGCACAAATAAATCTAGGTATTGATCTAGAATGTCTATAGAATAAATACCTCAATTATTTCTTCTCTCCCTGCTATAACTGAGCATGAAGGTGGCACAGAGTAGGTGTCTGTTTACCAGGTGGCTCTACTTGCTTTACACCAGCCTGATCAGCTCTCTGGGCTGCTGTGCTTTGTGGAGCTGCCCTGTTGATCAACATGCAGCATCCCTCGATGCTCTGCCCCAACCTGCATGACCAAGCCATAGGTCCCATCTGCAGCTTTAATTCTGATTTTTTTTTTATCTTGCCTGAACGCAAATTTGTCAGTGATTAAGGGATGGAACATTTGTGACTAGGATGGTAGGATAGGGTAGAACTGGACTTTACTCCAGTTACTTTTGAGCTTTTTGGATGACAGAGTTCAGACTGACCTTGAACATAACACAAATAAGCAGAGTTACGACCATTAAGGAAGTACATGTTTTAGGAGACTAAATATAACATGGGGACTGTGTATGTGTAAGTTTTGGAGGGGCTCACTGTGAGTCAGCAACATGCTGCTTTATTTCTTAATTATTAGGCACCCACTGCCAGTTAACCACAGGAGCATAGCATGCGGGAACTGCTGGGTAACATTTCCAAAATGCTTAGCATTCGTCAGATACTTTTTTAGCATTCTGTGTTCACTTTGGCTGAAGGAGAATGTGGATGTTTGTCAAGGGTCCAAAGCATGGCAGCTAGATGCAGAGGAGCACTGGAAAGTCGGGCCCCTTGAAAGAGGCTAATACATAAGAATATTTTACGTAGCCTGAACAAAGGCAGCCGAAGGATATTCATTTAATGGCCTTCCATTGTATATATAGTTATTATGTAGAAGATGATATAATTATTTCCACTATGAATAGAATTAGAGAAATGGATTTACATTAGAGGTAAAGGATATTTTGAGGAGTATGAAGAACTTCTTGACTTTAAGGATTATTGGGCAGTGGAAACACTTCTCTAGTGGAAGTGTGAGATCACACTCCTGACTGAGCAGGGTGCATGCTGCTTGGCAGTTCAAGTTAGATACCGAGGTAGAAATTAACAAACTTTCTTGACCCCGTTTCATGCCACTTATCTCACATTGCATCTGGTATTGTCAGGGAGTAAATAAGTATTCCTTTTTTGTTTTCACTTTTTCATAGTTCCTACAAATATGAAGAGCTTGATTTTAATGTTTCTATTAATATAATGCATTTCAAGTAAGACATTAAACTGCAAATTGAAAGTTATTTCACCTGTGAATCAGCTTGCTGCTCATTCTTATAGGGGCTCATACAATGTTGTTAATTCCAGCTCTTTCTTTTTCTTCTTTAGAAAATTCACTGCATCCCCTCCTCACTTGTCCTACGATGAGTGCCAAATCTGCCATCAGCAAGGAAATTTTTGCACCTCTGGATGAAAGAATGCTGGGAGCTGTCCAAGTCAAGAGGAGGACAAAGAAAAAGATTCCTTTCTTGGCAACTGGGGGTCAAGGCGAATACTTAACTTATATCTGCCTGTCAGGTAATGAAAACTAGATACTAATGTTATTAAGACAACTCTTATTTTAAAACAGTTAATTGTGAGTATCTAGAGGGGTTGTGTGCATGAGTTTTTTTGTCATGTCTCCTGTCCCTTTTCCCTCTTTCTCTGCTTTCTTTACATGTGGCAACTTCTCTTTTTGAGGTTGCCTAGTATCTGAAAGGTAGTGAAGTTCAGTTTTAATTTATCTTTCAGTTCATTATGAGTTTCTGTATGGGGCACACATGTTAGTCCACACTTGCCTTCACTAGGATACTGAAAGAAGGAGCTGTCTTTGGAGTTTTTGTTTTAAAACAATTCCTGTTATTTGGGTAATTGTGATTACCAGCACTCTGAGTTTCATTGGCTTTGTTTTCCCAGACAGCTGCCAGTAATCAGTAAGGGCTTGTCTCAAGATAAATATTGGCACCTATGGAATGTGAGAAAATCAGTTTAGTTCACAAATCATTGCTTTGCCTGACAGCCATTGCCTTGTCAGGAAGAAGCATCTGTCTTTATTAAGCTTTGGATTTTGTTGGATTTTTTTTTTTCTCTTACTGTTTCTGATTGCAGAAGATCTGTGGGATTTACTGTGGATTCGTGCTAAGATTTTTGAGATAAAATTTGGATACATTTTCCGTGAAGTTATAGGTGATGCTAATCTGAGCATCTGGGGCATTTGTAATATCTCTGATAATATTTCCTGTAATGGGGCAATGCAAGATTTAAGTTGACCTTAATTCATCTTTTATTATTTCCTTCAATTGTGGTTTGGGAATAAAATTTTATTTTTTTGGACCATCTTTAGCTTTTTAAAAAATTAAGCATCTGATCATTTATGTTTATTAGAACTTATTTTGTGGTAAAAAGAACTTTTTTACCAGAAAGAACATGTAAATTTAAAAGACTGTATCTTCAATTAGAATGAAACAAGAACATATAATTTTGGTAGGAACAACTTTTCAGTGATTAGAAGAAAGCTTTTATTTAAATGCATAGAGAAAAGTAATATGGAAACATTGGTCTCTCTTTTTCCCAAATAAAGATTAGGCTAATAAAATTTGGTTGTTGTTAGAAGATATTTGTATTTCTTTAGTGTGCTATGCATTGCCTGGCATGTAGTGGGAGCTCAGTTAATCGCTAATGACTAAATGAAAGATAAAAGTAGCCTTTCCTAATACCTTCCCGATATTTTGCTAATGAAACTCGGGACTTAAATGCTTTTCCATATTCTTAAATTTAGATTCTGCTTACACAAATAATGAATCTAATACCTTATAATAAATTTTGTTTTGTACTTGGGCTGAGTATCAGCTGAGCATGGAGACATAGTGGTTCTAATTTTTTTAAACTCTGTTCTCTCAATATTTCATTCGGATGAGTCATTGAAAGAAAGGTGATGAGAAGCCTAGCACGTACCTATAATTGAAAGAGAATAGTTTTGTTTGCAGTTTAGGTTTATGCTGTTGTCTGCCGATATCGGGTCATGAAGACTGCAAGGGGATACTAACAAATTCTTCTAAGGGAAATAGCATAACCATTTCCCTGGCCATAGAAGATAATGACCTGGGACTTATTGGATAACTGCATTTCCTTTACAAATTGCCCAAATATTCAGGTTTAATGTCTAAAAGTATGAGAATTGATTTTTCGTTGCATTCTAATGCAGGACAATCTTTTGTTCCAAAAGTCTTCATATTTTTCCCTGGTTTTGAATTTAGAGAGGATAGATCAATAAAGTCTGACATTCAAGCAAGCAGTATACTGGAAATTGGAGCAGGAGAAGGCCAGGGTACTTTGACACCCAACTTTTCTGCAATTTGATTTTTCTCATAAATGACAAAGAAGCAACTGCCTTTATTTTCTAACTTATGTGAAGCTTAGAGGCATATCAGTCTCATCTTTGATGAGAGAGTGTTTTAGTTAACAGTTAATTAGTCAAATATTTATTCAGTACTTTTCAGGTACTGAGCTTTCTAGGCACTGAGAGTGCAGCGATGAGAAACATTGTGCAGCTTGCCTAATTTGGTAGGGAAGAAGCAATAGAAATTAACAAGTTGCTCACTAAAACTAGCATAATTATAAACTAATGAGGTTAAGAAAGAAAAATACAGTGTTGTGAAAGCATGTAGGAGGAGAATCTG